GGGTTGCAGAGCCCTGAGTCCATCCTAAAGGTACATTAATGCTTCAGTGGTTGTCCCCTATCCTCTACAGCTCTTACAAACCACCAAAAGTACATCACAGTACAGTGGGGGGCCGTTTTCCCAGGCTATCCCGATTTGAGGGGGGTCTCACCACACGGCAGCCAAACCATACCACCACAACAACACCCCCCAACCAAAATAACACTTTGGAGACAGCCAAAAGAGGCCTCTGACAAGTTCCAGACAGCTGTCACTGATAAGAAACATTTCACTGTCTGCCCCAGGCACCGTTTTGTAAACAATCCATTAGATTGCACACAAGGGGCCACTTAGCACACAGTCCTATGGGAATTGGTTGGAGGCTGGCTGGAGGCAGGCTGGATTTTTTTATTTTTTCTGGCTAGGGGAGGCCCTGGCTGTAAAGTGACTCAACCAGGTTTTTCAGCATGAACAGGGGTAGAATATGAGAAATAGTTGTTGCATTTGGACCAAAAAAAAATTAAATGTTAATTAGCTCCAATGGACTCGCCAAAAGAGGCCGTTCCCTCTACCAAGGGTTTTAAAAGACTTAAACCAAAAGACTAAAAAAAAAGACTAAAATCCCAAACCCAAAACCAAAAACCCAACACAGTGTGTAAAATGGACCTAATGAGGAGAGTTTGGCTTTTGATCACTGACTCCAAGAATCAAACAGAAACCTGACTTGAGCAGAAATGCACACTCCAATTAGGAGGAACAAATGAACAGTGACAGTGTTTTTCCTGGTCTGCTCTTCAAAACTAAATGTGGCCACAGCATGGGGTCAAATAATATGGGCAGAAGCAAGGGCCAAAGTAAATAAATGGGGATACACTAACAGAAAAATCCAGGGGGAACTCAAAACAAAAACTGAATTTTTAGAGGCGAGCTACTCCAATGAAAAGACACTAACAAAAACTATAACAAATTTCTAGCTCTGCCACAGAAGCACACAAGGAGAAGCATTCACCGAAGCCTTATTTCCTGGTGAACCATCACTGGGATCAGGAAGCTATAGCCAGTCCATTCCAGCTGATGCACCACTGTGTAAAGCAAACAATCTCACACCAACCAACTTCAACATGTTCAAAGTGTTGTGAATGAGTGCACTGTAACCAAATCTGAATGTACACTTGGGAGAATAGATGGCAGTGTTGTATTCGGGTCCATCCCAAATCCTTTCACAAGTCCCTTCACAAGGCCAGTCATAAGTAACAGGGTGAGCAATGACTAGAAAAACTTTTGTCACAGGTCATTTGAATTGCTTGTCAATTGGCTTAAGACAGAATAACTTGTGATGGACTTATACAGACTTGTGATGGACTCGAACACCACACTGATAGACGGGTATGCCAAAGAGGAGCTTTTGTATCCAGAAGAGCATTACATCAGGGAGTGCTGTGACAGGAATTTGTGTGTATGTTCACTGTGTGGCATTCAACATGGCTGCCACCATGCACGGTATGATACTGAATTAAAAGAAAAAGTTTTTTAATCAAATATGGTGTTAGATGGGTGGGTCAGGATATTTTGGAAACACATAAAATGTTAACCACTTCCAGCCGGGGGCTCCGGTACCGAAGGCATAGACCTTATATTCGTGGCCGGGGTCTCCGAAATCGGAACTTTACTAAAAAAAAAAAAAGTAGCTGACCGTTTCTTAAAAAGTTTAGGCCGTCATTGGAGGTTAATAAATTGGTCTGAGGCAATAATTGGTTGCTGGGGCCGGAGAATCGGGACTTTATTTTGTAGCCGGGGTGACCGAACTTATAAAAGCCTGGAATAAAAGTACGAGCTGCTGAGAGCTGCCGGGCACTGCCAATCAATCCCTGTATTCTTTCAGCGCAGAGCGCTGCAATTAGCGGAGGTAATCCATGTATTGTTTGTGCAGAGCGCATTTGTTCGCGCTGCCGGGCGCTCACTGGGGATTATCACTGCACTGCACTGAAGACAAAGCGCGGGCTGTGCGGGTTCATTATGCACCTGCACCCCATGAATGACCTGGCCCGGGCGCTGCTGGCCCTTGCCACATTGACTGACAGGGCACGGCCCTTGCTGTTTGAGAAAAAAATTGCCGTGCAGTGGCTACATGTGTTCATATTGGGTATCGTGTTATCAGAGCAGAGACAACATGGCTGAAGTTATATCCGGAGAGTCCAATTCTTCCAGTGAAAGCGAGTTTTATTTGAGTTCAGAAGAAGGTTCTTTGTCTTCTTCTTCACCGCCGTCTCCTGCTCAAGTACAGTCAAGTACAGAAATTGACAGTGGCGTACCCTTGGCAGTATATGCCAAGCGCAAGAGACAGTCCCGTACACAGCCGCCGCATCAACCAGCAGCAGTGCCACACCGTTCCGGTGGACAAAAGAAGACAGTACACCGCTGAAGTACGGCTTCACCGGTAATGGTGGTGCCGTCGATCCCCGCCTGCATCGCAGCTTGACCTGCAGTGAAGCCTTTGAACTGTTTTTTGTCGATGTTCTCTACAACAAGATGCAAGAGACCAATCGGTATGCCATGCAAAGGCCCGTTATGACATCGGCGCACATGGACTGAGCTGAACGCTAGAGAACTGAAGGCCTTTCTGGGCCTTTGCATAATGACGGGCATCGCGAAGCACCCCACCCTTCATAGCTTCTGGTCCACCGACCCACTACTGAAGATGAGCCTACATGTATTCCCATCCGTCATGCCCCAAGATCGCTTCCTTGCCATCTTGCATTCCCTGTACTTCAACGATAACACCACCATGCCGGAGGACTGCACCGACCGCCTCTTCAAAGTGCGCCCAGTCGTCGACCATCTTGCTTAGAAGTTTGCCACTGTCTACGTTCTTCGACGGGACATTTCCGTCGACGACTCCCTGTTGAAGTTTTACCGGCATCTCCGCTTCGCTACCTACAACCCCAGAAAGAGGGCCCGCTTCGGCATCAAGATGTACAAGTTTTGCCAGAGCACCGGGAGTGCCGCCGGGTACTGCTACAACTTCGAAATGTACACCGGCCAAAGTAAAGGAGACCCCCCAGCAACTACACAAGTGGTGATGTACCTGGTGAACGGCCTAAGCGGCAAGGGCTATCCGGAATTGTTTTGACGACTTCACAACCAGAAGTTCAACGTCGTCGGCACCGTCATGGCGAACAGAAAAGGGATGCCGAAAGACCTGCAGTCCGTCAAGCTAAAGCGGGGCGAAACAGCATCCCGGTCGGCCGACCAGGGTGTCAGCGGTTCTCTCCTGGCCATGGTGTGGCGAGACAAGCGCAACATCCGTATGCTCTCCACCGTGCATACGGCAGACATCCGTGGCTCCGGCAAGCAAGACAGGACCGGGGAGGAAAAGCAGAAACCAACCTGCGTCATCGAATACAATGCCCTGATGGGGGGCGTTGACAAGAGCGACCAACTAGCGGCAAATCATCGAGCTACTTGTAAGTCCCTCAAGTGGTACAAGAAGCTCTTTTTCTACCTGCTCGACTTGACGCTGGTGAACAGCTATGCTGTGTACCTGGCCATTAGTCTCCGCCTCTCCTTCCTCGACTACCGCTTTAGTCTTGTTCGTGAGCTGCTGTTCGATGAGCCCTGGCCCGAGTACCGCCCTCTGCATGATACTCCACCAGTCACCAACTCCCGCTTTGTCGGCCGACACTTCCCCGTGGACTTTGAGAGGACCAGCTATGGCGACTTCTGCTACCGGCGGTGTGTCCTCTGCGCTCCCTGTGGTCGGCGAAAGAAGACGCACTTCGAGTGCGACACGTGCCACCAGCCCTTCTGCGTCGCCCCCCACTTCAAGGAGTACCATACTATCCACTAATTGACACTTGTTTTTCATGAATTGATTCCCCACTTAACTGGTGTAAAACAACATGTCATTTACTGGTGGTTTTAGGAGTTGTCATAGTTTCAACCTTTGAAAAAAATAACTAAAAAGACAAAGTTTCTGGAAAGTACTGCTTTGAGGATGTTGTATTTTCATCTCTTGAAAAAGTGGCACATTTCCTTGTAATGGTTTTACTAAGTGGTCATGTTTTCAACCTTTGAAAAAAATTACAAAATAAACAAAGTTTCTGGAAAGTACTGCTTTGAGGATGTTGTATTTTCATCTCTTGAAAAAGTGGCAAATTTCCCTGTAATGGTTTCACTATTCGGTCATACTTTCAACCTTTGAAAAAATGACAAAAAAGACAAAGTCCCAGGAAAGTATTGCTTTGGGGATGTTGTATTTTCATCCTTTTCATTCCTTGTACCGGTGTTAGGAGTTTGCTCATTCTTGCCTTTTTTAGGAGTTTTGCTTTTTATTTGATTAGAAAGAGTGGAAATTTATTTTACTACTTTCAACTATTTCAATGAGAAATGAAAAGAAA